GCCAGTTCAGTGCAGCGATAACACTGCACTGCACTGAAGTGGCTCTGCCCTCGTAAATTTATTGTATTTTGATAACATGTGTTACTTGGTAATCCTGTTACTATTTCCCATATATTAAGCTAACATTTTTTTTCATGAAAATCGACTTACTTATATATGTAGCACTTAGGGATTTTTCCACTATAAATCGTAATGCTTTAAAGATGGGGTAGATCCTCGAAAAGTATTCGCAGAATTTTGTAATACTAAATAAAATGCACCTATGGCTGATTAGCTCTACTTCCCTTAACAAAAAATGTAATTTTATACGATGAAATAAGATGTCTAACAATAGGATAAACTAAGGAGCTAACTACTGTCTCATTGTCAGCAAATTCTGATACACGTCAAACGAACAATCGAGACAAAAACTCTATGTAATTATCCAACTATAGATAAACAGTCGACGTCGGCAAAAGTGGGGCACTCGCGAAATTATTTGGATTTCAGTTACAGAGAGCTATACACGCAAAACCCTACGAAGCCAATCCACTTTTTTCTTTTCTTTCTCATTATCGTCTCTCTTTTCCCATCGTCTTCTTGCTCAAAACCTAATACTCAAGTAGGAAATTTGACAGGAGAGAACAAATCTATCTCACAAAAAAAATCTACACTAACAAAAACTTCAAGGGTATCCAGCAAATTTAAGGCTTTACATGACAGGCTCTCATGTAAATGTAAAACTCAAATTTTCGAGGAAAAATAAAATAGTTATCACTCTATCATGAAAAAATTCACGTCTGTTCGGCGAAAACGCACGAGGCTGTCATTACCCTTAAATCCAATCCCACGTCCCACGTGTGGACAGTCTGCACAGTGCTAGGAAAGTAAAATCTATTAATGCATACTTGGTGACTCTTCATCTTTTATGAATACTTTTAGTTCATTTAAATGATTTGACTGAAAGGTTTTTGAGGGTTTTAGAAAAAAATTCGACATGGGAGGAGTTAAAGGGTGGCAGAGGAAGGGGGGGATAGCCTCCCCAGAAATCTGTTTTGCCCCTCTTAAGATATGTGAAAGATATCCTTACATAAAGTGCATCACATATTTTTCAGTTTCGAAATTTTATTTGGATCAATTTATCGGTGCAAAAATCTAAAATTGCTCCTGAAAAGACTCGATTTGTCAAAATTTTCGCAGAGATGCTCCCAAGATCCCCCTTTGTAGCCAGAGAAATCCCCTGAACTTGTCTGCGACATTGGAAGACTCCCATGGATCCCCTATGTGGACTTCCCCCTGGATGAAGTGGCCTTCAACCTTCCTCTACGAAAAGATCCCAGTTCCACTTGTAAAAGTTTTAGAGAGAAAGACTTGACAGACAATGCTCTTTTTGGAGATTTTAAACTAATTGCAAAGGACTTCTACATTTCAAAAGTGAATTACTCATGTGTATTTTTAGAAGTTGAAAAGTGCGGGTAAGTATTACATAAAAAGCTATATCTGTCTGCTACGAACGGATTGCAGGCCGAAGCAACTTAAATTTCCTTTTTTTCATCTTAGGATTGTCCTCGAGTATTTCATTAAGTCTTCATGACAAAATATTTGTTCAATGATTTGTTGTTTTGAAAACGAAGGTAGGAGTAATTCCAAGAGACCAGGGTAGGTATTTTTCACCTATAAATGCGCTTACATGGTTTCCTAGATCCGCAGCTCCTGAAGTGATATCTGCAGGCAACGAAGGTTAGCGGAAACCTCATCAAGAATTTTTTGGGAAAAAAATTTCAGCTGTGAGAAAAAAATTCCAACAATCTGTCTCCTGTCTTTTACTGCCGTTAAGGTAGCGATAGATATAATATAATAAGATACATGGATATCATGCTGAAAAAATCTCGAAATTTCGTATCCTTGTGAATACTCGAGTTAGCGAGAAAAAGTAATGAGTCAAGTTAGGAGTGTGGTTTACTAGCTTTTTCCTCAGTGTCTTAAAGAGTCCTTCGCAGCAGAAAATTTTGGGGAACCATCATACTTGCTAAAATTTCATTTCAATGAGTGTCATCATGATGATCTTGTGTTGGATTTAAGTAAAGAAATTTGACTTGGAGAAATACTTCCGACCTTATTAAACAGACTAAAATGCTTCCACTTAATTTAGAGTTGACTATGTGACATTAAGACAAATAATACTTTATTTCATATTAATTACGATTGGATTGATCGATTACTTCCCTGGGTACAAAAGAAGAACAAGCTAACTAAAACTGCGAACGGCATAACTCTGTTTGCAAAAGTGCAATTCTCTTATTTTCATTTCTTAGAGGAAAGTCAACCAGCAGTTTCTCTGAAAACCACCGAAGTGTGAATTTTCTTCCCTCAATCAAAAACATTTTCAGTAGGTAGGTAAATTTCAAGTTAATATTTTCGTTGGATTTGTAAAACAATAATAAAACATGACTGAGAATTCTGATAATTTGCAATGAAAAGAAAAATGTGCTCACTGTGGTCAAGAGATATACTTTACTCTAAGTTCCGATTCAACCAGTGAATCATATCACATTTGGGTCAACACACAAAGCAGATTAACTTACAATGTGTTCCTCAGACGGCCAAACCTAAATTAGTCCGAATCAGCAACATTTATGATAAAAAAAACAAGTAATCCAATGGAATCTCTGAGTGAATGTAACTCAAAGCACAACTCAACTAAACTTCGAACATTCAATAGGGCTACTCAAATAGGGATCGTAGGGGCGTAAATTAGATCAAATGATTAGAGCCTTACTGAATCTAGGTAGAGGAGAATAGATTGGCGAAATTGCAAAATATATTGTCAGATAATTGAAAATGTCATGACAACTTAATGATAACACAAGGAGAAAGACATGTAAAATCCAGAGAATTCAATTGGCATTTGATCTTTAATTTAGTGCCGAGTTGGCCTAGAGTAGATAGTTCATACATCGGTCTACAGCGATACCAAATGAAGAATGTAGAGTCTTGCCGTCTGTAGAAAGGGTTTGAATAATCAGACCAAGACAAACAAAGTCGAAGAAATTTCATACGGTAGCAATTAAAATGAGATATTTCGTGAATTGATAATTTACCTGGCGTTACTCCTCCACTCATGCTGCTAGGTTATATCTGGTGACTTCCCACAGAGGTGCGTTGGGCACTTATCAAAGAAGCGCTCTTCGGGTATGATAAAGTTCACAATTTAATGAGAAGAGGTAAGAACTTTTAAGTTACGGAGGTAGAATCGCCACGAACGAGTTTCAACAAAGCTAGAGGTTCTTCAAAATGTCTGAGATTGCACACAGCCACAGCAACCGAAAACAAACGACACTTTTCAGGAAAAAAGAAAAATAAAAATGGAGTTCCCTTGATAACGAGTTACCAGTCAAGGAACTATAGAATACACCACCTACCGATCTTAGCACCAGACTTTTTAACCCGTGACTTAATTACTTCAACCACTTTAAGAGTCAAAAAATGTTTAAAAAATCAAGATAAGTTTCTTAACCGAAAATACAGGTCTCACTAATAATTGCCGAGCATCGCGCGCCCGCTTTACGCCAAGAGCGACTATCGTAGTGTATGATAATTGGTAGTGGCACAACTGGACTGACGGAAAACCGGAAACCGATATGGATGAGGAGAAAGAGGACCGGAAATGATGGATAGAGTTATCGCGCAACCGACCTCTCAACTCTGTGCAGAAAGTTCCGTCGTTTTCATATTCGCCAATTCGCGTTTCACTGATTAAGAACATGACAGTTCATGTTACTCTAAAAGCAAACCGAATGGTACAAAAGAATTAACGAATTTGAAGTATGTGAGCTTCATGAAAAATAAGGCATGAGACACCTCTTTAGGCTTATTCTTTTCAAAAAAAGAGTTCCTTTGCCATTTCCACGACGTAATAGAAGAGGATTGGCAAATACAAAGGACCAAAAGCCCGGACCTACTCGTAGACTCGCTGTCTCGAACGGCTCCAAAAAAATTAAATATAAAACCGATGTGTTATATCATTAATTAGGTAGTTTTGAATGACACATGAAAATGGGAAGTTATTTCCACAAATTTCGATCGTAGCTCGCATAAAAAGCGGTACTGAAATTTTAGTATTGTAAGTATTGCAAAATTTTAAGCACAGAAGCCCGTTGAGCATGCCAACTGAAAAAAAAAATGTTTTTGAAGACTCATCATAGATGAAAAAGATGATATCTGAATCGGTACTTAAATGATGGATACCTATAAAAATGTAAATTTGGCATGTATGATTAAATGGGTATGGTTTGAATTCATCATTCAGTCGTTCACCCGCGGAAATAGTGCACGGTTTTTAGGGTTCGAGTAACCTAGGAAAAAACTTATGGTTTCGCCGTTAGGCGCAGTTAGGGGTTGTGCGCTCGTCTGTTTCCGGGAAAATTTTATTTCGAGAAATGTTAAAACGAGGTATACGATTGCATTTGCTTGTTTTTGCACCATCTCCCTCCCTCCCCCTCTCTATAGTACAGTAGTGAATCTGAAATTTGATTCTTGATAAACACGGGTAATTCCGAAGAAATGGAATACTTGAGTGCACACAAGGAAAAAATGGAAATAAATAAATGGAGAATGATAAGTCAAAGCAAAAATCCCCAAAAACAGGAAGAGCCTGAAATGAGGCAAACGAAAAGGTATGAAGTTTGATAGTGAGTAAATACTCTAATGGAGAGGAGAAATCAAATTTCCCGCTACAACTGCATTCCATCTTTTTTCACCGCGTAAACAAACAAGTGTGCTTAAGAGTAATTTCAAAAAGCACTGCTGCTGGTGTTGCATTATTGGTTGCGTTCTTAATCTTTAACTTTCTTTTCCCCAGTTTAAAGTATTTAAAGCTATCTCAACACTAGTTTTTTATGCTTTTCTACTTTAAAGAATGACGAAATACACTTTTTGTGCTTGTATCCTTGTTTTTATTGCCATCTGAGTGCTTTGGTGTTTTTCGAATTGGAAATCTACGATTGGTAAGATGATTTCGACGAACCAATCAGAGAGGCCGCTTTTAAAATCCAACGATCCCCGAAATTCATAACCTTTCGCTTTCGAAGTTCTGAAGTTTTACACAGTTACAGTACCATTTAATTTCCCTCCTTTGTGTTTATGACATATTTCTACCCTCTTCTCTACGCGTAATGTGCCTTTACATGTAGTGACTTTAAAATATGGAAGAGTCCAGTGATTACGACAGCGATAAGCTTAGGAAGGCCTCTATTAGTAGTGACCAAATAGAGGATAGTGGTTACGGATCTAACTTATCAGAGCTGAGCGAGTCATTTCCTCACCAAACTCCTGTCAATTGTACACCTCAGTTTCATCCCAGCAGTGCCAGCTTTGTGAGCTTTAGTGATGTGAAAGATCGTCAAGAATTCTTACATCCATCCAACAGTTGTAGATCTGACTTTCTAACACCCTTTCAGAATGGTCCATGTTCTAGTACTTCCTTTGCAAACTTAGGAAAACGTGTAAATATCAGTGATGAATTTCAAACTTTTCCTTCCTCAGCCAAGAGGATTCGAAGCGATTCTGAAGGGGAGGCAAACTCTACCTCAAAAGCAAGTTTTAAAGATACCACTGGATTAGCCGAACCAAAGTTCCATGTCTCTACACCTTATTGTGAATTCATAGACAAACTCAGATATAGTCCAAGTCCTAGTTCCAATCATAGCTTATTTGGAGTATCCCATGTAGACTTCTTGTATTTTTTAGGAGTTAAAAATATTCATAATCCAGTCTTGCAACGAATATATTCTTACCTTTCTGATCATGATCTCTACAATGTCGCACGAGTCTCAAAAACATGGCATACTTTGGTCAAGAGCAACAACTCAACAAGGGAAAGAATCGAAAATTTTCTAAGGAAACCATTGAAAGAAAATATCGTTCCTGGAGCTTCGCTTGCAGTAAGTTTGTGATACCTAGATTGATTTCATAGAATCTTTAAGTCCATCCCTAGAAGCCAAGACTAGGTTCCAACTTCATTCATTTTCATGTTTACCAGTCAAGCCTAGGTTTTACCTCATTTATGATCATTGTTTCTGATCAGACTCACGTTCAACCATCAGTCTTTTTTTCAAACCTACGTACAACCAAAGAGCCCTCTTACACTGAAGGTGATTCGATGGACGCCATATTTTGTGTCAGAACGGCATGCGATATATCGCATCAATTGGTTCCATATTTTCAGCTACTCGTCATTTTTCTCCTATTTTGAGATCGCAATTTTGTTGTCAGGAGTCTAAAGCACTCACCAATTTTAACAAAGAAATTCAACGTAATAAAGGCGTGGTTTTTTCAGAGAGAAAATATCGCATTCGAGTGCAGTTTCGATATCAGTATCGAATGCGATGTTTTCTCTCTGAAAAAACCACGCCTCTATTACGTTGAATTTCTTTGTTAAAATTGGTAAGTGAGTGCTTTAGACTCCTGACAACAGAAGTGCGATCTGAAAATAGGAGAAAAATGACGAGTAGCTGAAAAAATGGAACCAATTGATGCGATATATCGCATGCCGTTCTGACACAAAATATGGCGTCCATCGAATCACCTTAACCCAGGTTTGATTGTAACACCATCCATAACGTTTGTATTATAAGCGAGTTAGTGTAAGGAAATATTCAAGGGAAACCTTCTTTAGACAGTAATGTTCTCAATTTCACCTAAAGATTCTGAAAATTCAAAGGAAAAATATCCATGACTTTCCTCAAAAATAATTATTTTATCGAAAAAAATTTGGCAACTCTCGAATGTTCATACGGCGTTCTTCCTTAGCACGGCAGTATTCCCCTTTTTATTTAGTAAATCCCCGCTGCACCAAGGGAGTCCTATTTTCTGTAATCTAATGTTATTTTTTCTGCTTTTTCAACAGAAAGTATGTGATGATGATGAGCTACCCGCATCTCTCATAGGACGTGTAAAGCTGATGGAAATTCAGAATAGGACTGCTAATCATCAAAACGTTCAGAACCTAGGCAAAACTGCATCGACTGATAAAAGTCCTCCAGTGAGCCCCTCTAAAGTCCGTTTTCACCTATTTCAGAAAGTAAGTTGTATTAACTGCTAGCCATACAAAGAATTTTCCTCTGAAACATTTCTGTGCTACAAGTATTCGAGAGGAGCATATTAAATGCTTGGCAACAACCTAATGAATTAGCTCTCTTTTTTTTCTTTATAATTTTCTTCAGACGAAACCTTTTCAAATACAAAATCCATTTCACCATATCTATCAGCACAAAACAGCAACACCCAGACCAACAAAAAACAAAACACACAAATTTGAGATAGAGATTTTCAGGAAAACAAGCTCCAACATTTTCGGACTTATTTTCTAAAAATCAACATTTTCCAAAATGTCCTCCCTCTCGTTTTTTGAAAGTTTTATTTTTAAATATAATTTACAGTATAGTGTGTAGCCAGTAGACCCAATGTTGTTGTTAAATACTGTTGACTTTGAGCAAAATTGGTCCTATTTCAGTTTCTTCTTGATCTGCATTTGTTCTTGAAAAATTTCCATACCTATTCAAACCATCCCCATCACCCCCCCCCCTCCCCCCTTCAATTAACTCAGATAACTGCATGTTTTGATAATCATCTAATATTGTAGAACATGCAATTGTGGTAGCAATGATAGATGTGTCAGGGTTGTGGCAAAATGAGTCTTCAGACTAGAAAAGTAAAATACAGATGAACAGAAGAATACAATATTGCTATATCATGGAATGTTGTCACTCATTAATACTTGCTTATTTCAGGGGATTCATTTATTTCATCATCTTGATACTTTCATTTTAATAATTCCCTGTACCCTTGTGCTCATGTTATTTGATCTTTCTCAGTAATTTCAGTTTTTAAGGGCAAGTAGGAGAGGAGACTTTGAAACACCGCATGTAGCTGTGACGGTTTTGCTTCACACTATCTATCAGCAGATGACATTTTTATGTCATGTCATAATACCAAATAACTTTTAGGTTCTTGTGGAAATGTTTTGTGTTACAAAGTTTGCTTTGTCTGTTTCTCTTTAGGAAGCTCAGAAGTTGGATCCTGGTGAGCAATTAGTGCAATGTCCTCGGTGCTCTTTACCGTCACGGCAAGATAAAACCAAAAATTTAGGTTTGTGCACTCGTCAGGGGTGTCAATATCAATTCTGCTTGAACTGCCGTTGTGAGTTTCACCAACCTCATTCATGTTCTGTTTTAACCCCTCGATACAGTAACAAAAATAGCCTTTATATTAATAGGAAATCAAGTAGGAGGTTCCTTAGGCGCCTGTAATATTTTATTGCCTCCGGTTATTCTGTGATACGTGTAAAATTATCTAGCCAGTGAATAGCAGGCTTCTCACTGTCGGTTTTTGTTACCGGTTTTTTTATATTTTAAATTATTCAAGAACTTCTCTTGCCTTGTATCTCTTAAGAACGTCACATTTCTCCTGGAAAAATTTGAAACAAGCATTCCATTTTATCATTTGATAACATCTACTTTTAACAATTTTATGAACTGATAAGAATTTTTTTCTATTTATGTTTTCTCAAAGATATTAGTATTTTTTATGTGTGTATGTTTGCTTAAGCTCTTTCAATTAGCTAGAGGGGAGAGCTAAAAAATGTTGTCTCAAAGACAATAAGTCCAAGACTGAAATCCTTCCTCTGCTGTTTTGAAGTGAAGCTTCCTCCTTTTTCATTTGTCATATCTCATGAGTTCATACTATCTGGTTATGTTTCTTCTTTTCTTTTCTTTTCTTTTCTTTCCTTTTTGTTGTCATAAGAGAGAAACTTGTCTCGTTTCCACTTATGGAGCATCACATCTTTGTTTCCCTCTTATCCCTTATTTCAAGTTTTTTCCTGAAGACTTGCCATTTAGAAAGTTTCTCTCAGAAATGATATTTTTAAAAGATTGTAATTCTTGCCATCATATCTCTTCTAATCTAACAGGAAAGAGCTATACCATTAAATTACATTTAGGAACTATGCTAGCTTTGAATAGAACTTCTTGTTAACCATGTCAACTTTTAGCAGCCCACAATATGATATTTTAAGATGCATTTAAAAATTTATTATTCCATTTTAAAGCTGCGTTTGTTTCAGTTCTCTTTTCTAAATACTCAAAACGTCGTCTAACAAGAGCGCTCTCTTTTAAATGCTGTACAGAGTTTTCTGGAGTTGGAACTTTCATTGATTAGCTCGTCGTTAGTTTTTTTTTTTTTTCCTTTCTTAATGAAGCTCGGAATCTTGTATTTTCTACACATCCACACTCATAAAATACCATGACAGTAATTTATATTTAGTAGGCACAGTGGTGGATGGAGGGCAATTTTTTCATTTCTGTGTTTTTTTAATCGTGTGATAATGAATTGTTGGTTGGGCTATTAGAAAGTTTCTTCAACGATACATTCTCGGACTCAAGTGTCATCACTAAAATTGTTTTCAAAACTAAGGTGGTTTTTCTTACAGTTCAAAAACACACGCGCAATTGTTCCCCTGTAAAATATTTCATTGGCCCCGGACTTTTTCAGTAATTTTGAAGTCAGTGCGTATTTCCATGTATGATGTGGGGATCTTTTTTTTTCATCCGTTTTTTTCGTTTATCCTCTCCTGCATTTCTGTAGTACAAAAGCTGGCCCAAAGAAACTGAGTGTTGGCCCATTTAGAGGAAATTGCTAAGGAAACTGGAATGCAGCTTCTGTAAAGTTGCCTTTTTCATTCCTGTCTAACGAGTCCTTATTGAGCTCAAATGGTCAAAAATTCATTTTTTACAGCGTTTTTCTATAGTTAGTGAAAAAACTCTACAGAATTCTTGAAAAATTTTCATTCTGAAATGAGTGAATGAAAATTGACTCGAAAATGACAGTGTTTGTTTTTTACGCTGTAATAAAGCAAATTCATGACCGATGGAGCTCAATGCAGGATCCTTAGAACAGTCATGAAATAAGCTACAATATGAATTGTATTCCGATTTCTTCAATAGTATCTCAAAACAGACCATCTACCAATTTTTTGGGGACAGCCTTTGTATAAGTAGCAAACTTCAATGTTGGGCCTTCTTTTTCCTTTTTTTTTGTGACAGTATTCTTTCAATTTGATCCAACCACTTTTCTATGTTCACTCGCTCCATCAATCTACCATTGTTTGTGAAATTTTATTTGTTTACCTGATTAGCTCTTATTTGTTTTAAGATTGAGACTTAACATACTCGTACAAATTATCTATAACCATCCAATATTTTTTGCAGGTGTCCTTATGTACATAGCGCTTAGTATTAAGTACTTAGTATTTATTCTTTTACCGCCCCTTTGTAACATTATCCACACACTCCTTTGCGATATCGAATTGAGTGTGGAACTGAAAGTATCGTTAATTGATAATTAATCTGCAGGCATGATGTGATAAATCATATGGGTTTAAGTTGGTCCTCTCCCATTGCTATGAAAATCATTATATCAATTTAAAAATCTTAAACTTAATGTAGCTTATCATCTAGGTATTTCAAATTTTTACGTTTTTGTATCGGAATAGTGCAGCGGTTGATGTTGGAAACTATGTAATACATTCCCATCTATTTCTCTTTTTAAGTAAGTAACTGTATTATTAACAAGAAGATGCCTACAAAACCAAAGAAAGAAGATATATAAAATAACTTTATTACTTTTTGAGGCTTACAATTAGTTGTAATTTACCAGAAGAGGGCTAAAAATCATGAGCATACAACTACCAGTTTTTGTCATCATTATCTCTTTTGGTCATCATTTTCCTTAAATAAAAAACTTCATGCCACCTCTAATTAATAAGGTGAAGTCAATGGATTCTAAGCCCTCTAGCAGTTTTTTTTTTCTTTCTCTCTTTCTTTCTCATCTCTTTCTGATAACTGATGCCTAGATTTGATAGCAAGTTGACAAGTTAATGATTCTAGCCCTATCAATTTAACCACTAGGTAATTTAAGGGAAAGATGTTTTGCCAATGTGATTCATTAATCGTCATATTTTGCGGAGTTTAGAGCCGCAAACTCATTAGTTCAATGAACTGCAAGTCAAACTTTAACTGACTCAAATGAAGTGCCAGATTTTTGCTAATAGAACCAGTGTAATATTTAAAGTTGTTCATTCTATCACATGGGTGACTAAGTGCGAAAAATGCCTATCTCAATCACAACATTAAAAAATCTCAGATCATGTTTTATTTTCTTCAAGGATTACAAATCATAATGTTACCCTGAGATCTTGTACATTTTTTTTTAGAATGGGTGAAAAAAATCCCCAGAAATTTACAATAGAAATTGTTGGTTATTTTTCCTTTCAAAAAGTAAAACATAAGTGGAGGTTTTACAATGTCGCAATCTGAGGTACGAATTTTCGACTGCGGTCATTGATATCTAAAAGCTTCAGCAATTTGCACTCTTAGGCTTTCCACCAAGATTACTGCATGTTATTATATAATTGAAATGGAGATACGAAGTAAAAGAATGAACTATACAGGTTGATCAACCACTTTTCGGCAGGACATAAAGCGTTTATTCAATAAAGGCTGAATCATTAACTTACCATCAGTAGATCCATCCGGTCAATCCAACACACTTCTTTCTGAGGTTTTCAGCTCTTTTTATGCAATGACTCTTAATTTGTGTACATGCTGATGGCTATACCAGGTCCCATTTTGAAATCTTTCTTTGGTGGCTAAAAGTGAAAAATGTCAATAATTAGCTCCTTTGTCAAGCCTCATTTCTTGTTAATCTCAGGGAGAAGACTAACTGCTCAGTCAAGTAAAGTAGCATTATCCTCTCATTGTCAGTTGCATTTCCTTTTTAATCTCAGGTATTGTAATCAAATACTCTCTTAATACACACCGTACAAATCTTTAAGTAAAGAAATAAGTATGTAATTTTAAAATGTCCTATAGTTAAGATTCACCAAGTCTAATACTCAGCACCAATACTGTTCATTTGTTGCAAGCTTTTATCCTCGAGAAGAATTCTCTTCAACTTAATCTAAGATCTGAAAAGTTATTTTTAGCCTTACGGTTTGTTAAACAAAATAATGTTATCAACAGATGCCATCAAATTCACTTTGATCTTTAATAGAACTTGTTCGATTGTTGCTTTTAATGATATTTTGAGCTTAAATATCCATAAACTGACAAGGGGAGGTCATGTAGTGTCCCCTCCAGATTTTGATCAGAGTGTGGCTGAAAGTAGTTTCCTCTTAAAAAGTTATTGGACCCCCGTTTCAAAAAAACTTTAATTTTGCTTTTAAAAGCTTTCTTATTCAAGACCATCAATTTTGTATGAGGACACTTTTGGCCATGCTCCAATCAAAGTCTAGGTGGGAAACCAGGTGACCTCCTGTTGTGAGTTCGTTATTTGTGTTCAATCGCTAGTCTAATAGATAGAGACAACTTTTATCACCAAAAATTTTGGTCATCAGAAGTCAGTGAATTATATCTGTGATGATATTCAGACATTAAAAATTGATATTTTAAAGGCATTTACATGGTTAGATCCTGCAGGTGAACTCGTTGAATGAACATTGGTTACAAAAATGAACAAGTGAATCGTTCAGTCAGTTAGTATGTTTATCTAACTCTGAAAGTTGATCAACTCAGTCATGAAGACTATTTACTCTTTTTTGTCTCCGAGAATTTCCCCTAATTTCTGAAGTGCAAGCAGTGCCATAAAATTATATTTCATAAATCTTCATTCTATCAAAAGTTGATAAGATGATACTTTCGTCTTTTTATATTTTTTATTGAAAACTAAATTTTAGCATTTATAGTTTTTTTTTTCCCCCATTAGCTCATGGGGAAGTTCATTAACTTTTCTAGAATGCGATAGTCTTTAAATAACATTGGATAAGTAGAAACGCAATGTTATCGAAAGTAAATAAACAAAAAATAAATGAAAAAATACCCCATGCAAATAAAATATTCCCAGAAGAAATAAGAACCTCTTAAAATTCTAATGGGTCAGAAACTGTCATACTATTCTAAATGAACTCACTGCAAAACCACATGTAGAAATATTTTGTCGCAGCAGAGATTGTCAAAAAGGAATCTAATGTACTGCAACTTATTCCCTTGCAAGGAAAATCCTTTTTTTCTCAGGAAGAGCTAACCTCAACTCAAAATAGATGTAAAATTTTACTACAATTGCAGCTTATACTCCAGAAAAACATTAACTTTAGCTTATTCATAGGAAAATGAAGGACTTCCTATGTAGAAGAAACAGTGTCAGGTACAAAATCTCCCTTCTGACAACCTTGTTGACCAGCATCTTAAAGTCCTCCCTTAGAAAAAATTAATGTATACATTCCCCATGTCAACTCATTTTGCTGGTTAGACACTTGAAGAAACAGGGGAAAAAAACACTAAAAATGTGGCCCGTATACTGTAAGTAATAATAAGGTTGTAGAATAGTGCTGGGTCCACACTAATCTGCAGGGAAATCAAAGTAAAAAAATCCAAAAATTAGCATTAGTCACAAAATGAATTCTAATGAGTTGTTCTATGTATGTCCATTGATTTTGTGACTCTGATGCTAATTTTTTTATTTTTTGCCCTTGAGTTACCTGCTGAAAAGTGTGGACCCAGCACTATTCTACCATCTTTTTACTGCTTGAAGAGCTGAGTACTTATTTATGGATAGAAATATTCATAGCAGTCCTCAAGGAAATAATCTCATACCAACCTTTTCATTGTAAAGGAGGATTCAGTCATTCTCTTTTCTAGTTTTTTGCGACTGGATTCGAAAGTCTCTTATGAGTTGGTATTGATATCAGTAGGTTTCCTGGTGAAGTCAATGCCAAATAAGTTTAGCCACATTATAAGAGCCAGAAATGTTATCTTCATTTTAGCATTTTTTTAAAAAAAAAACCCAAAATTGCAGTCTTTTAATTTAATTTATAAGAGAGCAGACTTACTTAGTGAGGACTCTTAAGGATTTTTGAGAGGAAAGTGTCTCATGGCAAGTGATCATCAAAATTACCCAAGAAGCCAGGCTTTAAAATTAAGTACAGTCAATGGTTGTCATTGCATCAGAAGTGGAATTTACTATCACTGAACTCAAGTCATAATATTGGTCCTAAAATTTAATTTGGAATAAGGTGTGTTTGAACCATCCAAAAAAAAAAAAAACAATTGAAAAGAGGTCACCCATTAGCTGTTTTTAGTAAGGTGTCTACTGTATTCCTTGATATGAGCTTGTATGATTTTAATTTTCACTGATAAATACTCAGTTACTTAAGTGCACTTAGAAGAGACAATACATGACTTTTATTAAGTAACTACATACCTACTCATGATAATAGTAGAAAGAGTTTTTCATTTTCTGTATACCTGCCATTTTTACCTGTTGTTATTTTAATTACTTCCTTTCTCTTCCTTTGTATTTCGGTCAATTTCCATTTTTACACCTTTGTTATTAAACTACCAAACGGTGTGAATTGTCCTTAGTGTGTTGAAAGTAGCACATTGAGATGAATTCACAGTCTGTCATTCTGTGTAACTTTCGAAATTTTGGAAGTGGCTAAGTATGAGTTTTATTTAAGCTATTTTAAAAATGTCAGATCCACACTAAGTAGTTATACATTGTGAGAGAATTCAATGATGTTTTAATGTGAAATATCTGAAAAATGAAGGTGATATAGAAGTGGAAAAAATTTTATTGGTTGTCAATTAATTTGGTCAATTATAATCAAAAAGAATATGTTTAGTAACTTAATCAATGGTCAATCAATTAATTTTTTTTCGCTGAATTTAACGCTTTATCTATCAAATAAAGCAATACATAAAGTGAATAAAACTCACAATTAGTCGCATCTCAAAATCATGGCAATATGCCGCCCTACCAGCCCTGGATTCACTTTTTCTAAATTTTAAAGTTTAACTCTGTGGGTAGAAGTTAAAACTATAGTGTCTCATAAACATGGGTTCAGAAAAACTGATTATTTTTCCCCCATCATATCCTTGCTCCCTCCCGTAGCTCAGGGAGCTAATTTCGGACCCATGCTCTTATCGGAAAAGAGTGTGTTTTTAGCCGCAAGAATCAACCGTTAAATATTTCTGCGTTCAAATTTGGACGTACCGTGTTAGAGCTTTACTTTTCTTCCCTTTTAGTTCTAAGAGTTATCCCTTTTTTAATTTTTGTAAAAACTTAAAATTTGTTTAATATATTTTTGTACTTTCCATGTTTGAAATGTTGTTGTAATTTTTAGTGTTTTGAAATATGAGATCAATTTAATAAGTCAAATGGATTTTTTTTTCTTTTGGTTTCTTTAAACCTATCACTTTTTCTGTGTTGAAACAAAATTGAATTGTTACGATAAAATATGATTCACATTAGGAATCAGTAAGCATTCTAAAGTGATGCTGATGATCAGTGAATTTGCTAACCATCCTGTAAAGAGTGGATGTATTAAAAGTCCTACAGAAAATAGAAAGGCGGATAAGTTGATGCAGAGAAAATGGGCAAGTAAGAAATTGGCGTCCATCGCACCTTAAGTTAAATTATTACTGATCTCGTTCATTAATATGAACTATATATGTAATTTTTAAACGAATTTTTTTTATCTTTTCTAGGAAAATGTCCCCACTTTACTCAAAATGTTGCTCCTAAGCAGTGTTTATTATTAGAAGCTATTATTTTTCAAAAGACAAAATTGCTACACACACAATTTCAAGAAAAACTACATTACTCAACCATAATTGGTTGGTAAAAACTGTTGATTTAAAAGCTTTTAATAAAATTCATACTCTCAAATGACGATCTGCTGAAAGACACATAATAATCCATTGAAGCTCCGATTATCAAATTCTCGTGTTCATGTCATTTGCAAAATAATCAGTCTAATTGAAATTTAAATACAATCACTTTTAGAGTTGCAAGGCAAGCATGTTGTCATTTGCTATTGCAACAACTTAATCAATGCAACATTTTCAAGTGATGGATTTTAGGAGTCTCCAATGAGACTAATAAACAAATCGAGTTTGATGGAGGAAAAATGAATTAACTTTAAACAAGATACAAGAATAAATCCCATTTCTTTGCAAAATTTGTTTGACATCATTAAATACAACCTCAAAGTCTCTAAGTGGTTGTAACATGCTCAGATATGTGTGTTATAAGTAAGTTCATTTCTGTCTAGACCCACTCATGCATGATATTCTGGCAATAACTTAGTCCCAATTGTTAAAAAAGCAAGGAAAAAAATCCAAAAAAATAATGTGGGGAAAAAGGTTCTATGTAATTTTGACTGTGTACAGCAGTTGGTTCTTTATTGTCAGTCAGACTGGCTAAAATCTTGAAATCTTCAGACACGGTTACTTTTAGTATAGAGAAAATTCAATCCTTAGAGAGAAAAAGACAAAAGGTCGCTTGCATTTTTCTGGAGGATCTCACAATCCGTTTAAGAACCTTGCGTTTCAAGGGTTGTGAGTCCTATCATTAAAAAAGAGGCTGAAGGTTCTTTGTGGAGGAAGTAGTTCTCAAAACATTAAGAACTACATCAAAAAAATGGTGTTGCTTATTTCAATTCTGTATTCAGATTCAAATATATTTATAAAAATGTACAATTTTATTTACATTTTTACAAACTTTAGAAGGGAAGAGGGGAAAATAAAAATTATGAGTCAATAGAATAGAAAATAAGTAGAAGCCCTTAAAAATAATGCACTGGGTTTGTAAAAAAATGAGCCACCTTGATAATTGCACTAATGGTCATGAATTTTAAAGCCTAGTAGAGCATTTTTTCCAACTACCTTTAAAAAATTAATAACTCCTCTTTAATGGTGTTTGATTTGCAAAAAAAAATGTTAATTTCTCCAATTGCACACTTCCAAAAACATTATTTCCGGTTTCAAATCCGACGATTTATGTTGTTGACAAAATTTATCACCTTGCCTGCCCCTAAGAGAAACCATTCATCTCAGCATTGGGAGATATTTCATAAAAAAAAGAGGTGAGATGAATCTAGAAGCAATGCAAGGTATAATGCTTCTGATGGCAGTTTTGAAATGTCAGCCAATCAAAGTATGCAAGCTTTTAAATTACAGTAACTGATATTTTGAGGCAGAATGGATGGTGTACCCGAAAAGAATGTTTACTATTTGAAAATTCGAATATTGGGAAGGGAAGAACCTGGTCCACATCACCTCATGACATAAAAACCGGAAGAAGAAAATAGCTCTTCTCAAATTCCTTCCACAAGATACTCAAGGTGGCTCGCTTATTTAACGCACCCTGTAAATAATCGGGTCTTCATCTTGTAAACTGATGATGGCATTTTGTTTAAGCTTCAACTTAAAAATGATGAGTTTGTTCTTCATCGATCTTTTTTAACATAAGGCATTTAATGCATAACAAGTAATAACAAGCATCCAAAAATCTTCAGAAAAACAAAGTTGAAAAATAATAATAAATTAAGCAAAACAACAAAATAATAAAACAAAAATAGAGAGAGAAAATTATTTGTTTAAAGCTAAATAAATTAATTCCGTAGCTCAGCATCAACACATTTGGAGATAATTGAGCGGAGGTGATCTGTCTATATTAGGAAAGTTGAAAAGCATTGTTATTCCAAATTGTAAAGCTCAATATGAATTACATGCCCTTTCAAAATTCTCTAGGTATAGATATCACTTTTGCTTTGGGACATTCATTCATGCCATCGGTTTGAAGACAATATGTCATAAGATGAATTTTAAACTGTTGATTACGTTCTACTGAAAAAGGATAAAAATGAAACTGAAACAACTGCAAAAGATATGAACTCGCACTCCTGTGTAGTCTGATGAAACACTCAATACTGGATGAAAATAACACAAAAATGGATGAAAGGTACACTTGTCCCTGAGTTGCTGTTCTTGGCATATTCAGCAAGTTTGCTCTGTTTCAAATAAAGTTGAAGAAAATACATTTTTAGGATTTTTTTTTTTCTTCATGTTTAGCCGCTCTAGAGGAATACTAATTTAAATGACTTTGCCTTTCTGGGAAAGGAAATTTTGGTTGCTTGAATGAAGGAGAAATAAAAAATAGTTTAAAGCCTCTCTGAGAGAAAACAAACTCCTTAACATTTCGAAAGGCATTTGTTCAACATCTAACAGAACATGCGAACATTACTGTTTGTTTGATGTCACAATCGACTCGACTTTAGCATGATGTATTTTCGACTTCTAATCATGGTAACAAAAATTAGTCCTGAGTTTCCTCCACAGTTGCTCATTTAACTGGTTGTGCTTAGGGTTACACAGCTTTTGGGATAGAAAATTAAGCTGGGGATGAGACTTTTCCCTTCTCCATGAGAACTGCCTGTTCTAAACAGAAAGTGACATACTGCTTCACAACGTTACATAACCAACTCACTTCAAATATTAAATCGTTTTTGGCAGAATAAAGTTTTTTTTCGTCTTTTTTTTAAAAAAAAAAAACGTTAAACTCATTGAAAATCTCATCAAGACATAATAGAACCTACTAATTTTAACTTAATGATTGGACACTCTAAGGCCTTGTCCACACGAGCACAGTTCGAGGAACTTTGGCCAAACTTGTTCCAGGAATTTGTTATGATTTACCTATAACTTATTCCAAGGACCCCCAGTTCGTGGAACCAATTTTTCCAGCCTGCGCTTCTTGAGTGGGCAAGGCCTAATATGCTCAAGGTTATACCATAATCAGATCTGATAACATAAAATACAGATCTATTACTTCAATTAAATAAATAAAAAAATTGTACATCACAAACCATATGTTTAATTCTGTTACAGATAAGTTTACCCTTTTCATACACAGATACTCAACAACAATCTGCGTGAGTAGATGAAAAAGTTCAACTTATATGAAACCAAATCAACCTGTCTAAACACCGGGATGCCTTTTTTCGAGAGTTTGTTTGACTGAATGTTTCCGCTTACATCTGGGTGAAAGCTCGGAACACTGCAGTGGGCTCTGAATGAACCTATCTGGGAATTTGATACAAATGAAGACATACAGGAGCCTTTGGTCCCCTGGTGTTTTTTGCACTTGGCTCACCAGTAGCCACAAGGCTAGGAACAAGGTTTATGGATTTTTCTATCTTTCAGATGTCTGCATTCAAATCAAGCCTTTACAACGTACTTTTTAGAGATAAGTCTAGGTAGAAAGTGTGGAACAAATACCACACTTTCTTCCTCTTGAGAGCCACAACTTTGTGAGATTTGGTGCAAAGAATTAATGCAGAACCTATGATTTACAGTATGTTCTCTCTGCTAAATACAAGTGCAAGGATGGACAGGTGAATGAAATTTCATACTTCGGCTTTTGGTGGCAATTTTTGAAAAGAATTCTCTTACTCTCAAAATTTAGAAAAAAAACAATTTGGTCCGAATGTAAAACAGCAGTTTCTTTGCTCTCTTGGATTACCCGGTAGAAATAAGGCAGTAACCGAGTGGAAAAAAGAAACCTGGTAGAGCACATGTCACTACTTACTTCTAGCAACTTGACTCGAACAATTGAGTCGAGAGAGTCATAACACATATAAATCAAAGACTCCAAATATGGCACATAACATCTTGACAACTGAAAAGGTTGCCAAATTCCCAAGACCACTGATGAATGAACAACAATTTAATAACAAATTTTCGGTCCTTGAACAACTTACATCTGGATACACCAATCTGACCTTCACAAAATTAAATACATATCTAGAAACAGATGATTGAGATAATTATTTAATTTTCAAATTTACTTTTTATTGGCAGTGGTTAAGAAAAATGGTCGAACACATAGAATGACAGGGAGGAAAAGAGTAGGTCAGTGGCAGAAATCAGAATGTTGACAGTTTTGGATAAAATATTAAGTCTACTTGGTGGGCTGACACTGAAAATATTCTTAGTTTTTAAATAAGACGACAAGTATTAAAATAGTTGTGAATAAATGCATAGATTTTTTGACATACATGAGTTTGAATAAGAAATATTGCCCAGTGACATCACATGACGGTCCATTTTCTCAACTTCAAAGCAAATTTTTCTATGTTCCCATAGCAGAAAAAATTGTGATGAATGCTCTAAATTCAGCTCATTTGATACTTTGATATGAAGCGATGAAATTTTCTAGCACCACTGACCCATTATGTTGTAACCTGTACTATAATATGCACCGAATCACTTTGAGAAGTGGCACCTGTTAGGAATTGAATACAGGATAATGCACCATACTGGAAGCCTTTGTGATCTTCAAACATCATCAACAGAATGACCTTCACTAGCTTTCGAAAACATAACTTAGTATTGCAACAAAGATTTACAACCAAGTGGAAATCTTCATTGCAAAACTCCAAAAATTGACTATCACAGACAGCAGGTTGGTTTTGACAATACCTGCTGCTTAGTTAGCTTTGGTAAGTTGTTATGCAGTGGCTTGACATCATGGTAATTCAGCCAAAACCAAGGACGTATTTTGGTATCTGATACGTGAATGCAGGTATCGCCATAATCACAGACATTCTGTAAAAAGAAATTCACAATTTATGACAATAGGATATTCTTGGTTGGAAAAAAAGAGTTGAGGATATGCGGTGACACTTCTTGTAAGTTTGAATGAAAAGGTTAAAATGGATAGGTAATGGTGAGTTAACCTAGAATAAAAGCAAGTACTTGCATTTCTCTCCGACGTCGATAGGTGATTGGCTGAGAAAAAATGGACTATCCACTGAATCCAATCTGAGATCGCTGTATAAGAAACCATTGTAGTCAAATGGTAAATTTCATAAAACTCTATCCATAAAATCTCACTGAAACTTTGGAAACCCGAAGATTAGAGCACCAAAATGCTAATAAAATCAATACAACTTTTAAAAAAAGTCTAAAATTTTAGGTAAACCAAGTCGACAACAACAGCATTGTCCATTTAAAAACACATGATTTTAAACGATCAGGACCAGCGGACAGTCCATTGTCAGCGATGCCAGTACCCACATTTGTTATAGTACCCGTCATTAGCTATTGTTGTTGTTGTCACTTGTTGCAATTTTTCATATTGATGAGTTCTGAAGTTCTCACACGTTTACCCTACCCTATACACTTAGAATGGACATAGAATGCTCATGAAGCTGCATAGAATGTCAAAAGTAGGTACTAGAGAACCATCCTTTACACAAGAGATATGAAGTTCAAAAGTGAGAGTTTTTATAAGCATGAATGTACATATTTGCACAAGAAGTATATCCATTGCGATACTTAATACAAATAAGACTTTTATTCATCAGTGTATCTGGAGAAATCATTACCAAATGAGTACTAGTGCCATGTGCATACTAAGTGAATTTTCAATTTGTACATATATCATTTTAGGGGAAAAAGTAGAAATTTTACAATCAGTCTAACAAGCAATGAATGTGGAAGCACTTTATATCTTAACTTGTTTTTTTTAAGAGGAGAAATAGCAGGCATTTAATTCCTCAAGGATAAGGGTAAAAATGGGTAATACATGGCCATTTAATTGAAAGGGAAAAAAACTAAAATATAATCAATTCTAGCCAAAAAATTTATTTTGCTTCATGTCGACTGCTGGTTTTGGATCAAAAACTCAATTTTAACTATTTTGAATGACTAAGTGTCAGATGATTGGAACATTACTGTGTTTCAAAGGCAACCTGTATGAATAAAAAACAAACTAAAGGAAGACGGAGTGATTTCTCTTACTGACACCTGTTTACATGAGATTAGTTACTGGTGGATAATTTCATGTTATGACTGATTGTAAAAGATAATAAATTAACATGCATATATAGTAATTTGAAAAGAATATGAAACAATGGTTTATAGAATAAAGGACAGTACCTCGAAAGTGAGGGCCAACTCACAGTCAAGTTCCCAAGGAATAGTCATACAACACATTGAATGACTTTCGAGTGAAAGAGGTAAGTTGCAAGGCAGAATTTACCAATATCCGAAACCTAAATTCATAAAACGTAGCTATTAATGATCTTTGATTACACACAATTCTACTTTACCGAAACCAGAGAAGCAACTTGAGCAATACTTAATCAACCACCGTCATGAGACTAAAGTATAATGAGAAAAGTACAGAGGGAAGAGTTGGCTGGAAAAACCCTCTCCCATCACAGTCAAGCAACAAAAATTCGATAGGATCCTAGAAGTTTTTACCCTTTTAAAATCAGGACATGTTGATATTATGATAAAATTACTACAGAAAAACTCATGGAAAAATTAGAGGTTGGTAGAAATTCAAAGGACTCAAAATTTTCCTCATACAAAAGAGACGGAATCACATTGCAGAAGAGTGTGGAGAAAACCTGCTACTTTTATTCTAAATGCATTCTGATTCAGGTTCTAAAACATATTGATGATTAACTGAATACCTTGGTTTGCAACATTTCAGACTCAGAAGTATTTAAATCAAAGGGAACCATATCCATTCTGACATGAACCCCAAGATCCATAAGAATACTTGCATGACAGACTCATGTCACATTGGATATAGTACCTTTTGATTAGAATACTTTTACTTTTTATCATATTTCAGTTTTTCATTAAAAAACCAACCAATGCAATTTTTCCAGGAATCAGCCATTTAACTTTTTAGTATAAAAAATTCTATGAATTTCAAGCAACACAGCTAGCTCATTTCTTTTTTAAATAATACAATAAGAGTGGAAATTTTAGGACACCTCGATCTAGATAGATGGTTTCTGAGTTTAACCACTAATAAGTAATGGATCTAGACAAAGTGCTTTGAGCATTATGATACGGATATTCTCATCAAAATTTTGCGTAGACCACAATATGTGCAACAAAGTAATTCCTTACCTAGATATCAACGTTTTCAACACATAAAATCAAACCGCCCGCTCATAATAAAAACCATAATCTACTTGAATTGAATCGCTCACCTAACGTTACTAAAACAGTCCTAGTGATATAAAAATACAGCAACCTCAATAACAGCACTTTGGCTCAGCTGTTGCAAATTGCTTACATTTTAAAAAACACAAAGCAGGGAAGAAACACTGATTTAATTGGGAAATCTGCTAAAACCATTGTCCAGAGCAATTTGATTCAAGTAGACTTTGGTTTTTCTTGTAAGAAGGGAAATTCAAATTTTTTGTAACTAGTGCTAGATAAAACCATTAAAATCTTGTTGCGGAATTAATGTCATTGCACAAATCGGGCTCTACGTGAAATTTTGAAAGGGAAACATGTATCACAACGTTTAATTTGTACTTTGGCCAGTGGTCCATTGGCAGGAACTTTCTCTTCATTTCTTTTCAAGTTCATAACCTTTATATACCCCAGTTCTAACTTCTAAGATAAAAAAATAATTCGTGCAATGACTTAAGTAGGTACTTGAAGAAAAAACATTACACAAAATAAAATAATACTACAAACAGTGTTTTCTTTCTGCAACGTATGAGCTTAGAGAGGCTAAAATATTTAATAATCCCCTGATTAATCAAGTGCCATGACACATCAATTATCGTTTACTTATTATTTTCTTCAAAGGGCATTTATTTAAAAAAGCAGAAAATTACAGACCCTTGGAGAAAAAATCTTATCATCTGTTAACACTTTACTACAGATTTATGAGAGTTCCTCAGCTTTGCAACGTAATTTAGCAAATACCTAAACATAGCAAACTTGGTGTCTCAGGGAATGCATATACAAAATGAAAAAATGATAAAAATTACTGAGCAAGAAAACTCGAAGTTGGAAATTGTGAGTTACAAACAAAGAAATGAAGGTTTGGTAGACCCAGTCACCCACTTGAATGAAGTTTGTACATTGAGCTCCTGGATGCAAGAAAAGAAAGACATTATTTACAAGTTTAAAATTCATATGTTGTTATGAGTACTTCTAATTTCATGAATTGTAACTAAGTTGGTTCCCATAGCCTATTAAGTACACGCACAGTAAGGCTATGCACTAGGAATTGAGAAATTCTCTCAAGATTTTATTGACACTCATGATAAACAAAAGATATATGGGAGGCAAATAAAACTTATTTGCATTTCTCATCCAATCCTAAAAGTTTATCTACATGAATAAATTGAACAATTAACGATAGCTTCAACATGTCACCAACGTCACACTCATTACAAAATTTGACTCTCTGAACATGTCTTGGAGATAATGGATTCTTTAAAATAGCAAACTACAGACTTTACATGCAGTTTACTGTTTTTTTATAAAATACAAAGGGAAGACATTGACAGTGGTATAAGATTCAGAAAGTCATTGTTGAGAAAAATTGAGTTCAGAGGTGTAGTTGAGCACTTCAATAACGACTTTGATTGCTTGATGAAAGCAATGGCATGCAGCCATGTCAATTCATAGACAAAAGGGAATTGAAGTGAGTCACGGTGCAGAATTTCTTTCTTTTTCAGATATCTCAATTGAATCGAATAAAAAATTCTATCATTTACAAGCCAGCTTTGCTGCTGTAATCTGCCTGGTTAAAAAAAAATGGTATTTGAACATTTTCGATAATGCCAAATTCTCCCTCCCCTGAGTGCAAATTTTCAGTTAATTTAGATACTATTGCATATACAACCCTCTGAGAACTTGGAGGAGAAATACCTAAGATTTTTCCTGATAATTCGTATTTTACAAAGGCAACATTAATAGCTTTTACAGCATTCTTCCTTACCATGATAGTAATAATACGAGCAAACATGCAGTTACAGCAGTCATAACTGCACTTTCAGCCATCTTTTATACATAAATAACATTGGCGAACAAAGAAGGGAGAGTTTTAATTGGTTTTAGAAATTCCTTCCTTAGTAAATAATAGAAAATTTCAAATTCATGAACATTAAAGGAAGATAGAATTACTGGAATGACTCTGAATAAACCTCAGTTCAATGACTAGTATCCTAATCTGTACCTTACTTACGCAAAACTTAAAACATATTTTTTTGATAATCGGCAATCTAAATTTACTTTTTCACGATTACAATGGCGCATCAACACTTAATGGGTACGAATATTTTTTACACAAGTGAAACACGAAAAGTTGAGCACAGATGTAACAATTATTTGAAAAATTAGAAAAATAGAATTTAATCCAGACACCATAGCGGATTTGCTTTCAAATCATAGGACAATCATGCATAACCCACAAAGAGAGAATTAAGAAGAGAAATAAAACCATTGCAATTTATTGTAGGATCAAATGACCGCGTTATTTGAGGAGGAGTGACAAATTTTCAGAAATTGAGTTTTCGATGGAATGCTATTCTGTGAGGGTGGGTGCAGCTTCCCACCAAGCAACTCTACCAAAATTTCTATTTAGATGTCTTTTTTAACAATTGAAAATCTGCATCAGAGGAAAAAGGGCATAAGTTCCGAGCCACTTCTCTGAGTACAGGGTGGTTTCTAATAATAAAAACCATGTAAAGACAAGAACTACGATTTTGAACATTTTCAACGAACATACCTACTGTTTAACTGTCATCATACTGCTAAAAATGGCAGTACTGGGCAGTTTTGTGGTGGAAGGGCGCAATGGGCGCATCCATAAAAATTTCAATTTGTTTTTCTTGCCCAATTCCTCCAACCCTGCTTGTGACACCGGTTAGTTTTTTTCAGGCAGAAATATACAGAATTGTCATGAAGTTCAACCGTTCTTTTGTTTTCTCAAAACGTGACTTATGAAAGTTGCACCCCTCTACAAATAACCTTTTCAAATGAGTTCATCCTATTCGTTTACAATCAGTACCATCTCCACATCTTAACTAAAAAGAGGAAACCCTTCAAATGTTTGTACAAAATTATTTTAAATGATAAGTACATATTAAAATGTAGGAATATCATGCACAAGCTCCTGAAGGCACTCTCTGTTGATAAATTGTTAGAGCTAAGCATGAAAGTTTCCGTTCTTCAACAACGAAGTGAGTATCCTCAGGGATGAGTAAAAAAAGTTCCTTTAGCCCATGCAATAACATAATTGTCAGATGAAACATACGATAAGGAGAGGCCATTGTAAATCCAAGCACGCCATCCTGTTCTTGAGTTAGCATCTATACGACTCTCTATTTCCTGGCACAAGAGTTTGCGGTCATGTGATCGACCTGATCGAAGATCACACAACATTCGTTTTTTCCCTTCAGCATCCACGCTTGGTCTTACAGGAGAGTTTTTCCAATAATGCCTGTAGCAGAAGGAAGGACAGAACAATTAAAAAGATTAAATAAAGAGTTATAATTAAATGGATAAAGTTAAGCAAAACAGTCACATCATCATTGCAGAGTTTCAAAATCTCAATTTTTATTTCAATTTTTTGGGAGAAAAAAAACCGACATTTTTGCTACAAATTCTGTGGAAATAATCTTCATATGGGCAAGATAGATAAAGCTTGAAGTACGCTTCCAACAACTTAACAACAGTTTTCGACTTGCCAGTTTTTTTTTTTTTTCATGAATGCGAGGTTTGAATTTAGGCATCAAAAAAGTTTCTTGGTCAGAAATTATTGCTTCCAATAATTTTCTTTGCACAAATCATGTTCTACGAGTAATTCTGATGAGAAAACATCTATCATAATGCTAAAGTTGCACCCTCTTTAGCGGTCCATTGTAGAATCTACTGGTACAAATCCCTCTCACATTTCTACATTGGCAAATACTGCACATCCATAAATTAAGTGCATGGGTTTTTACTGGCAAAATTTTTGACAAACTCACTTAAAATATTGCTCGAATAGGTTGTCACTTTCTGCCAGTTTGTTTACAAAAGAATCCCATTCGTGTGGTAACAGCGAAGGCATTTGATATGCTGCTCTGGTGCTGTACAATTTGTACCAAATCGGATAATCATACAAGTTGGCTTCTTTTAGATTCATTACCCAGGTTTCATGATCAATGACAGTCTGTAACAGAGGTAAAATAACCAAATCAATATTGTTGTTCGATATTGGATTTACAAATATATTGTATTAAAAATGTAAGTTTACTGTTGCGCCAATTTTTATTATGAATCAATATGAGCCGACAAAACAAAAGAGAAAGATTCATGCTTTTTCTAGAAAGAGTTCAGAGACATGAGCTTGGGGCGTACTGATGTCATCGGATCAAATTCAAGCAATTGGTACGGAATGAATATGTGCAGATGACGGCAGTTGATGCACTGCTCAAACAAGTGTTTGATTGGATTCCTCCTGGAGGAAAGCAGCATGAAAATCCAGTTTCTGGTCAGCAGCGAGGGGCTGAGGAGGATATTAGAGGATGCCATGTATGTGATGATCTGCAAAAGGATAAGTTTTGATGTTCGTTGGGTGTCATAGACCGTCCAAATGTGCTCATTTTGCAGCTTGCACTTACATACTACATAATTCTAAAAGGATGAAGAATAATGTAATACTTACTCGAGTTGACTGATCATGATCACCATCTATATAGTATATTCTATATCCAGGATTCAGATCATTGTACGGAGTTACAGATGGTCCAATATATGCTATGCTAACAGCTCTACCTTTATCTTCTTCATCATAGAATAATTCAAATTCATCAAAGTGCGTGTGACCGAAAAATTGAGCTGTTATTGTTGATTCATATCTGGAAAAGTTAATTGAAAGCAAGGATTAGAATTGATACATGTAGAAAATATTCATGAGTTTCTTCAGAGTATGATTTTGTGACTGTGACGCATTGAAAGAGATAATTAATCAACCAAAGAATACTCAGAGGTGGCGACCCATCCTGTTGTAATTTTTTACCAGGAATTTGAAAAACTTTGTAGGCAAACTAATCAGGCTTCATTTGAGAGAAAGATTTTCAAAGTTGCGAAAAATCCAACACTGTTTCAAAAGGAAAATTGCGCCAACGAATTTCGTGAGGTCACAAAGAGAATGGAACACTGTGTATCCTTTTCCCTGCGTTTGTTCCTTTATTTTAAGCACCTCCTACCTAGCCATTGTTAATTATACAGGGAAATGATCATCTAGGGTGTAAGACCACCGTTTTTTAAGTAGCTGTTTATCTGTAAGGCGGAATCAAGCCAATCAGCGTAAAACAATAACAGGAGCAATTGTAACAAGAAGTTATGTATCTTGACTGTGCTTGCAATATCATCATTGTTTGAAGTGAATATTTTGTTATTTTTTTTTTTTTGGTAATTTAAATCTTACAACGGCCATGCTGCATTGAATTCGAGGGGATGTCACCATGGGTGGTCGTCTCTTATGGCATTAAAAGCTCCAGGACAATGAGAAACAATCTCTTAAAAACTGTAACTTCAAACCTCTTTTTTTTCGCCGAAAAGCTGTTTTGAGCTATTTAAAGCTCGGAAGTGCATTTCTCGCTAAAATCCACAACAGATATTTTCAACGCTACTCCTAGATCTTACAACAGCCCTACTAAAGAAAACACATTGCAGAGAGATGGAATGAACTGTTAGGAATAAGTACCGGTTGATAATTGAATAATAGTTCCTACTCCAGACTTTTAAACAATCGCTATGTCCAGGTGGTATGTGTCCAATTACGTGCACTTTTTCTCCGCTGAATTCTGCACTTTGTAGCTCATAAATGAACCATTGTAACTCTTTGACAGGATCAGTGCTGTTCAATAAGAGCCACCTGCAGACAAATGTAAATTTAATTAATCCATTACGCAACAAATTAGGGACAACTAAGGAAAAAACATTAAAAACTATCAACGTTCCTTGAACATTGAGGGTAGGAGGATGGTTTTCCCAAAACCCTGGTTATACTAAAAAAACAATGATACAGATTTAAACATTCTTAAAAGTTGGTAAAATAATTTTAAATAAAACTTCATTGTTTTTTTCAATGCTAGTGTGCAGGCAGCTAGGCTGCTGTGATAATTTGCACCATTGAAAACTCAGCCAAGAAGGAAAGAGACAGAAATTTTAGGAAAATAAACGAGAGGCTCAAAGAATGAAATAAAGGAGATACTTGCCAGTTTTTGTTGTTACAATAATTCATATTAACTGAGATGACTCTAAATCCAGGCCGAACTAAAACGCTGTAGAAAGCACCGCGTCTGACGGTTCTTGAGACAGACGCTGGCAGCCACTGTCTCCATTGATTATCTAACTCTGTATAAAGCCAATGTATTGAAAATTCACTGGGTGCAGATGGAGGAGGAAAACTGAAAAAAAAGGGAAACTTATTATGAGATTCTTCATCAATGACTAATGCACAAACCGAACGGTTTGGGATACAAAATAGATGTGAAAATGTTACTTCCAATAAATCTATATTTTTGACATAAAAACTACTGGACACAAACAAAGGCCAAATATGGTTTTGTTTTAACAAGTAACAAGGCCTACTTTTCATAAAGCTTATTTGATGTAGTTGACTTACTTGGAAGAAACACATTGATCTTGAGTCAATTTAGTGAAATGTTGGCTACAACTCGTAAAAAAATATAAAAGATACAAAGAAAGTAAGCATACTCCAACAATGCTCTTTAAAAAGAGGTTACTGAAGGGAACATTATGACAAGAGACTGCAATTCCCAAAAACCTTGTTTAAAGACCTCTTTCATGACTTTAACATTTTGGTATGCTTAAGATAATAGTTCCATGCAAAAGGCAGGCTTTGAAATGGTATTAAGAGTCATAGTTCCACCAATCTTCACAATTTTCCTTGAAACCTCGAGCCTTGAAAAAATTAAAGATTTTTTTTTTTACAAAAAAAAATGCTTCCCTTACTCCAAGTAAAATTTGAGTTTAAATAATTAAATGGTAATCCCTAATTTATGAGGAAAATAACTTGGTTTTTGTTCTATTCACCCACTCAATACTGATTGACTAGAAGTTTTGACAGATTCCGCAATTGACATACCTATTTACCGGGGTTGCTTCATGGTTACCAAGAGCAGGAAAAATGGGTATTCCAGGAAAAAATTTTACCATTTGAGCAACAGTTTCTTTCAGAATCATCAAATTTTCTTCTCTGGTTTGGTTCCATACGTCGTGAGCTGGAAGATCTCCTGTCCATAAGATGTAATCTACATCCTTCCGGGGAGAGGGATGGGGGAAAAAAAACCATTAAATTAAAATAAAAGCTTCTTCAGTTACAGATTGAAAGAGCTTGAGGCATTTCATTATTATGACACTCTTTAACTAGCTAGTGAGTAACATCCTTAAACAGACTTTAACTCTCTACTTAGGAGAGCTTGAGTCTGAGCAGACAGTTTTGCAAAGATGTCACAGTCTCAAAGTTGACACATTTGATCCGCCATACATAACATTAACTCTGGGATGAATGTTCATTATCAAATCCATCATTTCCTAGATTATAAATATTCAATTTCACTTTCCTATTTTTTCCTACTGTAATCAAGATGCATTCTTTCAGAGGTAAATTGTAATGATCTTGCGTCCAAGAATATGGATGGCTCAAGTGAAAAAATGCATATATCTCATTGCAACGTTGTGAATCTCTGCTCATGGTTTTTTTTAAAGAGAACAAGCGAAAAATTCATCTTAGAAATTTCTAAGAATTTTCACTCATTCAAAAATATTCACAGAGAATGCCAAGGAGATATTTTGGTTATTTATCTTTAAAAAGAAATTAAACATAAATGAGAATTTTTAAACATTGAGATGCAGATACGCATTTTTCAACTTTAGCCATCACTGTGGTATAGAATCTTTCAGTAAGAAACTTTCAATTCTCGTTTTAAAGAGGAGGCATGATGAAATTAGTGAATTTAGTTAGAATTACATTTTCTCCTGAATGGACCACTTAACGAGGTACAAACTTCAGCATTCTGATTTATATTTTCACTACAAAATTTCACGCGGATGTTTCAAGCAACAAGCCTTACTGAAATAAACTCCTAGCAAAGATATTAACGTTTTAATTGACAGCAATAAATTGTTACGAAAAATTTGAATTTCTCGTTCACAGGAAAAACCAGAGTAAGTGTGAATAAAATCGTACACTAGAACAATTTTAGCAGGCTTCTTAATAGAGTATTGCGTTCTCCCTGCCCTGTTTTGCTCAAAGTGTAAAAAATGTGCGACAGCTAGGCCCTGAAATCGAGGTTGCCATATTTTCATTCAGTAAAGGCTGTTACAGTAATGTTTAGTGTGCGATCTAGAAGATTAGCGTTTCTTCATGAGCTGGCTGGAAGTTTCAATTGCTGCATCAAAAAACTTTAATATCTTGGTTAGGAGTTATTTTCAGTCATTTCTGTTATGCGTATCTTGTTCTAGGTAAAATTTGGAGAGAAAAAATGCATTATAATTCTTGAATTTGCACCTTACCTGGTAGTCTAATGTTATTTATTGATGATTGGCCCGAAAAAAAGTTCTTCAATTAGAAGCTACATTAGGGAATCAGGGGTGAAAAAATCATGATGTAATCCCGGAATTCTCTACTTAATTCATTGATAAGAATCATAAATATTGAAAGCCTATTTCCTGCGTAATTTTCATTCATTTCTGCTTACAATTGTGGAGGGACTTTTCGTAAAGAAAAGGCTAGTGCCAATCTTGGTCTACTGGCCCATTATGAAAGAACTTACTGGGTGAGTTGTTGAAATGTGTTGGAGCATATGATCCACTGTCCTTTTAGGAGTGTCGCACTTTCTGTAATCACCCCATCTGCCAGCTCGAGCACTGGGAGTGAGAGCTGGACCATTGGTAAGCCTACAGCATAATGGTTCTTTGCACTCGGCATTGGATCCTTCCTCATAGTATGGATCAAAGTGAGTGTCAGATAGATGAAGAACTTTAAAAGTCGCAACGCCTTCCTTTTAACAAAAATTTCGTTGAAGAGTAGTAAATAAAAAAAACGAGTAGTGAAAATGGACATGAAAAAGGAAACTGGTAATTGTCGACATTCAATTGAGTAATGAGTGAATACTCTAACAGTTTTCGTACGCACAAGGTCTGAGTAGTCCTCAATACAAATGACCAATGAAGCTCTATAATCCTCCTACATCAAGATATTTCAGCAACATTTTAAAATAACTAATGTGTTTCCGGGTTTCAAAAGTTTTATAAAGACCAACATGAATTCAACATGGTAACTAAGCACGAAAGTTGTACAGAGCTCAGATTTGTCTTTAATTGCGAACACAGTTGAAAATGAAGGTCTTCTATCAGGAGAAGGATCGACTGTCACCCTATTACGCTCGAATAGTCTCTCATTTGGCAAAAATTGCGAATTACGCCCAAGATTAAAAAATTAAAGTTAAACATTTAAAAAAGCTAGATGCGCCAGTCAGATTAAAGATCTGTCGAGAGGAAATTTTTCTCTTTAAGTATGATTACTTCATTTGAATATGTTAGGGTTCTTGCCTCTTCACGTTCTGTTTCAGAGACCTCTAATAAGTCCTTCAAGAAGCAAGACACGAAAAATGTTGGAAACTTTACCTTAGGTGCTACTGGTTCAACTAGAGCTGGTTTTGGTACAGGTGGGAAGACAACTTGCCATTCATGGGTTGGATTATCCACTTCATCACAGGCATCACCAATTATAAAACTACAAATTTCTTCTGGTCCTAGAGTGGTGCGTTTCATTACATACACAACTTCTCCCTGCCAAAGATCAGAGCATTATAAAAAAAATTTCATAAAACTAAAACATGACCAAAACTACTTAAGACTTCACAAACAGATAGTTTAACTCACTGGCGAGGGAAGTATTTTGGTCGAACTTGCCACTATTTTTTAACTTGTAGGTATGACCTACTTATCTCTTGAACACTGTAGTCGATCAGATCATTTTTACCCTAAGTTGAAATTTCTAATTGGTTCACCCAGCTTATACTAAAAATTAATGGCATCAAGTTCAACTTTAAAAAATGAACTATAATTTTTAGGAGTTGTCTCTATCATAAATAAATTCTGATTTCTGCCAATTACTGCTTTAGATCATAGCAGCAAATGTATTATTTGAGCTTTATATGAACTTCAAGAGCTTGGGCAACCGCAGAATTCAAGGATATTCAAGGAATTTTCAAGATGTCACAACCCTGAATTGAATTTTTAATGGTAGCCATGAAAAGCAAAAAAACTGAGGTGACCTTACATGATCGAGGTTGAAAGTAAATATTAAAAACACCTTGCTTTGTATGGCTATCTGTAGGAAAAAGAGCGAGCTCTTGCAGCCAGATGGGATTTGACAACCGTAACTGACATGTAACATACTATTTTGAAAGAGTGCCAGAATGTTAAAAAAAACTACAAGTATCTCCATAGGCTTAGAATAAGATTTTGAAAAGTAAAAACAGGTGACAACAAAAAGTTTCACATTCACGATGGAATACAGCATAAGCATGTTCATGTTGAAAAATATCTTAGGCGTCTTGGCGTCATACTGCATTTATAATTCGATTTTGTTGACAGTTTGAGGTTTCAAGAAATATAGAAATCAATTCCAGCGAGATTATCCTGATATTAACTACCTATCTAAAACTGATTTAGTCAAGAAGAAAAGAAAAACATATACAACAGCTCCTTTCTCTTTGAAAATACATGATGAATATAAAATTTACCCCAAACAATCTGACTATGCCTTCACACACACGAGGCGTCTGGAGTTTGAGAGTCACGCAAAAATGGTACACGGTTTTCAAAATATCAGTTTCACTTTTCCCACTGCGGATGTAATGCAAAAGAAGACCAGCACCTGAAAACAAAAAATAACACGTACTTAATGAAATTTTGAGATTCTGAGAAAGGTTCTTGGAAGTTTTTTTTTTTCTTACAAGAGAACTGTAATGTTAAAGATCTTTGAAACATTTCTTCTGTGACCGGAAGCAAATCCTTTGAAATTTTCAGAGAGCTATCGTACTTAATTGCTTCTTGTAAAATAACTAATTCATTCACCAATTAAATTGTTTGTAACAACTGATGATTGATGTCTTTTGATTTGCTTCCCCTCGGAAAAACCCGCCGAAACGAAAGCACCTGGCAAATGCTTCGGAATGAATTTTTTCGCATGCGCACCACCTACGATCCTATGCAAAATCTCTGACGGTATTACTTGACAATTTTTTTATTACCAGGAGCGGTAGTGACCCCGTCAAGCTTACTGAGATTTCCAACTGATTGTGAGAATGGGAGTCATTACTGTATCTTGCACGAACCCGTTCAACATTTGCGTTATTTTGAGATATCCACGCGTAAACTTAACGAAACTCCAAAACCTTTGCACTCCGGATCGCAGAATTTTAGGAGGCTTGTAGGAGGCACAATGATAACACGCGGGATAACACCTCGGCTTTGAAAATCGAGGGATCGATGTGGCACATACGCCTCTATTTTTCTGCCTTTCCCCCTTCACTTTTGCTTTTCTCCTCCTGCGGAGACGAACGAGTCTTGTCTACACGAATAGTGTTCCATTTCAACGCGCCAAACTAATTTCGACAGTCGACACGAAATTTAACAGGGGGGAGGGGAGGGGGAGTAGAAATTGAAGCTTTCACGTTGCATCTACATATAAGTTGCACTGCAATTTTCAAGTAGCTCTGTTCGAAGTGGACCGGCTTTTAGACGCGACCCGCGGAGCTTATATTCCGACCCAACAGCCCACAGTGGATCGAGATAATAGGAGAGGTCGGACAAAATTTAGAAACTTTAAACGCTTGTAACTCCGTTTATCCAAACATTTGAGGTTCTAAAAGTGGCTTCATTGGTTTCCTCGTGAAAATGTTGCCAACAAACACCCTTGAAATTTAAAATGTGTCGAAATAAACATCAAATTTTGCAGTTTTAGTTAAAAATTCCGTGTCCGGCCCCTCAAATCGGCTCGATCCACTGTGCAGCCCCGAGGAGAGGTAACCGATGCAGCGCAGGGCCGGATTTACCTACTTGCCGCCCGTGGGTCGCCTGTATTTTGCCGCCCCCTTCTCATTCGTTTCGAAACATCAATGAAAACCATCAAATGAACAAGCCTGAGGAGGAGGGGTGCATAAGACGCGTTTACTCGTGTTGGACACATTTTTACCGAAAGCCCTGTCAACACTACTAGCAAAAGTTCACGGAACTTGGCGCGAAAGTTAAGTTCCGTGAATCTATCTCTGTGTGGACAAGGCCTTCCATTTACATGGAATGAACGAAACAGTTATGAAAGAACAAACATAAATGTGGTTTAATAATTTTAACTTCCGCCGCCGCGCCGCGTTGCGACTGTGTTTGGCGCAATCCGTGAAGTATTCCTGCAGGCTTGTATGCGCTATCCGTTTCACTCCGACCGCTGCTACACGCACTGTGTTTGACGCAATGCGTGAAGTATTCATGCAGTCTTGTAGGCGCTATGCGTTTCACGCCGCCCGCACGCTGCTGACCGCAGCGACCGCACACTGTCTTTGACGCAATGCGGGAAGTATTCATGCAGTCTAGTGGGCGCTAATATGTGGTACATGCCGACCGCCGCACCGCGACGAGGGTTTCTCCTTTTCATCTCAAGTTCTCGTCACCTTAGCTCTCAGCGCCGCACCGTTCCAGGCCAAACTCCAGTCCGCACACCTGAGTACTTGTATTGTTCATAGCTTCTGATCTCCTGGCCATCCTCTAACTCTATGCTTTGCTGATTGCCTCCCACCGTTAACTTTCCTGTTTTGCGAATGCTGACTCCTGTCATCGAGCTTTCGTCTCCCTCGCAATTTTGACGAGTGAATCTGTAGCATTAACACCATAAACTTTAGCCCCCCGGTGTCAACTCCTCGCCGATATTTATTTCAGCGGTGGAAGCGTGATGAGGAGGACTTCTCCCTATCCTTGGAGCCTGATTGGGTGGCGTCGTGTTTAAGCTGGCAACACGTGTATGATGGTCGATGGACGTTGCGCAATCTGGATAATTGGGTCAAATGAGGCGGAGAAAGTGTTATCCGGTATGCGAGCAGGTGAGTGCGCGCCTAGGTCTGCGTACGGTTGACCAGCTCGGGCGAACCCATGCCGGGGCCGGGCACCGGCTGAAAAACCCGCTCCAGAAAACGACTGACCAGTTGACCACTAACCGCGGCGGTGCGGGGCTCACGGCGTCGCACCATGGTCCACAGCACAGATTTACCGTCATAATTTTAAAAATGGTTTATGAGAAAAATCATGTGAAAATTCGGCGCTAAGACCCTGAATGAAGCTCTTGCTCTGGAAAACAGTCGAATCATTGGCGGATCCAGAAAATTGGCATCATTGTTATTTCTCCATTTAAACCTATATGGAAATGTATCAATTCCAGGAGGGGCCGGGTGTTCCGACAAGAATCGATTATTTAACACGGGTTTGAATGGAGGAAATCCGGTGTTGCCAAGTTGCTGGATCCGCCTATGAGTCGAATACGGGGTCCAGGCTCTCCGTCCAACGGTAGAAAATACGGGTGTTTACTTGTCCTTCTGACCAGGGCCGCGAGATAGAAACTTTTAGGACCATGGCGATTGGTACGCGTGAGGGGCCCCCCGGAAAATGTTTAAGTCTAGGGACCTTCAGACCCCCATTTAATCGATTTTAGTGATGAAAAATTGTGGAAAATTCTTGGTTATTTTGCTGGAAACTTATAAATAAATCTGAAAAAGGGTCTGAGATTTTGGGGAAACGATGGCCTTGAACTATTTTTGCCAGTACATACAATAAATATCACTTAAAAGTCAAAAACGGAAAAGGTTAAATGGAATAGAAATTAGGATGCAAATAATTAGCATTAAATAAAAGGATTAATTAAAAACTGAAAAATGATAAAAATTACCCACGGGCTCCCGTTCTACGGCCTCAACTTTGAAAGCTTTCTTTGAGCGTTTAAGTTTTTTTCAGAGAAAACCAGAGTCCCCATCGCGTTTCTCGCGAAATTCCACATGGGAAACACTACATAGATCGCAAATTCCTGACACGTGTGAGAGCTCCATTGTCCTTGATAAAATCGAACCAGAATTATACCTAGGTATAATGTAGGTAACTAAGACTCTGAAAGCTTTCGTCAAACTCTGGAAAATAGAGAGGAATCTGAGCTTGACGTTTCGTCCAAATATTCTATGCAGGCCTCTACTTTCAGTTTATTGATCTGGAGACTACTTAAAATATCAACGTGATTAGAGGAGTAGAATCTGCAGGAACCGATCATAATCGAAAACGAGTTGTAATTATTGAAAAGCAAAGAAATACTTCTTTTACTGTACGTGGAGACATAGAAGTGTCAGGAGGACACGCAAACAACCGTATGTACTCCCGTTGGACGGAGAGCCTGGACCCTTATTAGACTGTTTTCGTTTGTACGATAAGGAGCGGTGCTGCAGTATACTGCCGTGCTAAGGTAGAACGCCGTATGACCATTCGAGAGTTACCAAATTTCCTTCGATAAAATTTTCATTTTAAGGAAAGTCATGAATATTTTTCCTTGAAATTTTCCGGTACTTTACGTGAAATCGCGAGCTAAAGTGTCTGAAAAATTGGAAAGAAAATTTTCATAAGTTTACCAGGAAATTCGGGTTTTATCAAAAGAAATTTGGCAATGCCTGGAGGTTCATACAGCGTTTTTCCTTAGCACGGCAGTATATTGCTTGTATCAGTCACCGTCGCACGAATTTTGCTTTGACCGATTCGTGCACATGGTCGATTTCCTTGGCCTCGTAACACCTAATGAACGAAATGCTTATCACTTAAGTTAATCACTTTTTTTAATGTATTAGCTCACTTGTACAGCACAACGACTTTCACAGCGTAAGAGAGCATTATCGAATAAAAGCTTTAGTCAACGAAATTATTTATCAAATATTTTTGATGAAAAATTATTTGCTGATTGTCTCAAAAAGTCAACTCTTCACATTCTGTGCTCTTCCTTCGCACGGAATCGTTGCCGGAGGGGGGGGGGTGTTGTATGTAAAATACTACCTGTGTATTCCAAAAATAAACCAAGTTATTGACCTGTATATTCCAAAAATAAACCAAGTAACTGACCTGTATAAGTCTCTTTCTTCCAGGACATATGGACCATATGGTCCCTTTTCATAGATCGCGTATAACATGTACGTTCCTTCGTCGTTTCCCCCACGAAAGAAAGTAGCTAATTTCAACGTTGCCAAACTTCCCTTCGCAAATTGCATTTTCATCTGGAGAATTTTCGACATTGATGACTAAAAATTTCACTGGTTTTTCTACTGACGATGAGCAAAAATCAGACAAACTTTGAACAAAAATTTTACCGATAAATTCTTGTAAAAACTTGAATTCCTTGAGTCCATTTGGCAACCTTGGAATGGAATAACGTTCCTTCGTCTAGAAAAGGACGAATTACAGTTAAAATGTGTTTAGGTGGGTGCCCAAGGAAATAGTGCAAACGGAGTAAAGTGGCTTTTGAGAAAGTCTATATTTATCAGTTAGACTCTCCGTAGGAACGGAAATAGAGGAGGGGGGGGGGAGGGAGGGAGGATAACTATCGCTTGAACTTCTCCAAGGCACATGGAACAAAGGAGGATGGAATCCGGAATAGAGTAAACAACTAAGTAAAAGAACAGAGTGAGAGAAAGCAGAAAGCTTACCGGCTTTACAAGCGGTGCAGGAGACCTTGGACATAACGCTGGTTTCGATCTCTTCGACGACTTGCTTGAGGTTGAGTAAACGCAATGCCTTGTCCACGATCCGCGGTAAATGGCGACCGATCCGGAGATCATTTTGAATTTCATTGTCCACTTCGTTGAAAAGCCGCGAATAATTTAACTGTCAACAAACATCCAAACCTCATTTACACTATGGCCATGGCCAACCTTCACGCTATGAAAATCAAATGCTGAGAAAGTCCTCACAGTGGTGGATCCAGCAATTTGGCAACACCGGATTTCCTCCATTTAAACCTACGTTAAATAGGCGATTCTTGTCGGGGCGCACCTGGCCCCTCCAAGAATCGATACATTTCCATAGGTATAAATGGAGGAAAAAAATGTTGCCAATTTGCTGTAACCGCAAATGGTCCTCAACTGCTCACTTGGACTACATTTTGCAATGAGGAACAACTATTTCTGACACATTTTGGGGAAAAAACAGTTTCCCGTGCAGTGCTGTCCACCAGCGCCTCACAGTGGAACGAGTCACTCGGAAAAATTGGACAAAAGTTGGAAACTTTAAAAGTTCTTATCTTCGTTTTTAAGATACGTAGAGGTTTAAAAATGATTTTCAATGGTTTTCTTCCCATCAAATCGTCTATGTGAATCGCTCCCTTAAAATGCATGATGTGACGAAATGAATATTAATATTTGCAGTTTAGGATACAACTTCAATCTACAACTTCAACCATAGACTCGTTCCTGTGTGCGCCGCCGCGTTGTGCCGGAGGTGAAGCGGTGAGTACTTAGAAAATCAAAACGCCTTCAAATGCATGCATATGCATCACGGACATCCATAGAGTTCGAATAGTTGCATCCAGGCGTTGAAATGAAATTCGTTCAATGTATATCGCATCGCATGCGCCCCTGGGAGCGATTTGCTTGTTTCTCCTATATCTCAACTCAACCTCAGCGTTGCATATTGTGCCAAGGAGGTAAATTATTGCTGATCTTATCACTACTGGGGAGGAAGAACCCCAAAAAAATAATAAAAAAAAATTGCGGTACATTATTGATTGCTTTACAGTCATCAAAATACAGCGAGTTCTCAAAAAAAGGGATTAATGACGAATTATTGATAGGAAGTCGGCCTAGAGTTGCTTGCGTAAAATCTTAGGCGACAAAAACTATACAAATGTTTTTATTTTTTGAGTACTCTCGCTTTTAATCAACCTTCACGGGCATATTCACTAAAATATTGTGCTCATCCGTCTTTTGGACAGAGAAAATGTAATAAATCATGATAAAAAAATATGTTATAATGCGACCAGATTTCTAACACAGGTAAAATATTTCTCGTATCTTTTTCTCCAGTTTCAAGGGCATCTATTTGCGCGAACAACTACTCTACTACCCTTAGTCGACTACTCAACGTTCGTCGCTCGAAAAGCGCAAACCTTCACTTGCGCTTTTTTAAAAATTTGAGCCTCTGGAATTTTACCTCCGTATTAACTAATGATTCGATGTTTTGATTTCATGATTATAAACGTGGATTCTTTCATCACGTCTCAAGGTCGCATCAACAGGTCGTGATTACGATAGGAAAAAAACCAATAAGCCTACACGGACCGGTGAAACCTAAGGCGAACCAGAGAGTCAAAAAGTTAGGGAGCTTAAAAAGTGATGAACTTTTTTGTCTTTGCTTTACTTGCACTTGGAAAAAATTGTCTCGTTTTTAATCTGCAGCCCCAAATCAGTGAAGAGAAAGATGAGGGAGGGGGGACCTAAGTCTCTAAAGCCACATGTAGCATATACACGGTTCGCTACGCCAACGATATAACCTATATGCTGCAGTTAGAAAATCCGAAGACTTTAAAAAAGATTGTTAGTGTTGCTGCTACTTTGAGAGGAGTAAAATGTTTTGCAGCAAAACGAAATAATAAAAAGAGGAATACAGACTTACTTTGAGGATTTCGAATTGCCGCAAGGTTTGATTTTCTAATTGCTCGAGGGTTGGTTTTGGAGGGAGGGTCCTATTACTGTTGGCTGAGGGTGCCACGATTGAGCTGGAATTGTCCCCATCGCTGCTCAGGAGAAAAAACTCGTGCCAAATGTTTTCGTCCGTTAGTTCGGTCACATTCCAGAGGGAATATTGAGATCGACCCAAAGGGCTACCTGTGGACAAAGAAATTAACACTCTAAGACTATAGATAACGAAGTGTGTGTCTATACAGAAGGGTGTTTACTGAAGTCAGAGGATGAAAACATGTCAATTTTATACGGTTTTGGTATACTCATGACCACTTTCATGAAAGAGAATGCTGCAGAGCAAAAAACAGATCTAAATCCTCTTTTTTCCTCCCAAAGGCGGATTCAGACATCCCGCACCCCCCCCCCCCCCCCNAGCAGGGCCCCCCAGCCTCTTACGCCCCGTAAGAGGCTTCGCGGGGTTTCTCCACAAAGTTTTCGAAATTTGACAGCATCTAATATGCGATTTGAGTCATTTATTTCATGAATAAGTAGCATATATAAGCGTCCTTCCTCCTTCTCTCTTCCATTTCTTCCTTTTTTTCTTTCTTTCCTTTTCTTACTCCTTTTTTTCGGGCGAACGGGGAGGGGGGGAGGAGGCGTTGTCCTCTACGCCCTACTGGATTCACCCATGTTTTCTTTCCATTTTTTTCTTGAGACATTGTCAGAGAAATTATCGGGTGATAGCTCCATATCAGGCTCTATTTTTTCGGGCTTAAAGATAGACAAAAACTTAGCAAGAAAAAATCTAGAAGGAATTGAATTAAAACAATAACAATCGGTTCAGTTGCATTATCATGTTTCATTGTCTTAGATCGTGCGAAAGTTTGTGGGTGCTTCAGAAACTACGGTGTTTTTGTGGGACTTCGCTACAACTGATCGAATTATGGTAATATTGAGAAATTCTCACAATTGCGCAGCTTGTAAACACCCCGAGGATGGACATTCAATGTAATTGAGCGAAAAAAGCTACGAGATTAGGATTTCAATGGACAAAGAGGAACTTTCTGCAAGTACCGTATATTCTTGGGAAGAACTAATTCTGTTGAAGCTCAATACCATGACTTGAGGATTTACATAGCATCACTTTTGCTTGATGACGTTCATAAGGCTAGAAAGGGTGTCCAAACAAAAAGAGCATAGGAACCTAAATGTTTCGGATTTCTCAGGCTTCCCTTGAAGTATTTTTTTCTTCTTCAAGTTCACTGTCTTCAGGAAATTGATCGAATTCGATAAAAAGAAGTTGACCGACGTCTGATAAATTCTGAGACGTTAAAGGTCACAGTCAAACGCTTTGCGCTTATGCACCGAGCCTTGATCGGAAGCTGGCGGTTAGGATCAGTTTGGTGCTTTTTAATATGTTCATATATTTCACTAAAAAAAGAAAACAATTTGAAAATCGTGCCTTTATTATACTGCCCCCCCCCTTTCAAGAGTAATAATAACCTGCAATACAATTAAACAACGGGACATTTTCGGCCTCCTATGGTGTGGAGCGCTTGCTCTATGATCGGGAGGTCCTGGGTTCGATTCCCGGCCAGGCGACCCGAGTTTGATGGTCTCAAACAATGGTTGCCTGGGACTGGTTCAGTAGGGACGGAGGGGGAATGGGACTTAAAGCGTAGGATTAGCCCTTGAGGGCTATTTGAAGTAAAAAAAAAAGAAAAAAATTTAGGAAGATAGCTGTATTTTTGACTCGAAAAACCTACTTATGGTCAACCTAGATGAGCATACCACACGTTTAATTAGTTTCTCTTGAGACTTTTTTTTGACGTGAACACCTCAAACCTTACTGACTAATCATTGGTGCTCGCTGGCTGACTACACGGTGCAGCAAGTTTTCATTAATTACGTACCGCACTTTTTCGGAATTTTTGCCCCCCCCCCTCCTCGAGACGTTTTTGTGGCGTCGGCAGGCCCCTATCCTTCGACACGTAAAACAAAACGGCGTTACACTCTCCTCGACCTCTGTCCCTTTTGGAGCATTATGGAATTTCCAGTGGCGAGGCGCGGATGATCAATTTTCGATGTTTCCCCATTTGAAGCTATATGGTAAAGAATCGATTATTAAGGTGTTCGTTGCGAACACCCTGCTTATCGATCCTTTCCCATGTGTTCAAATTGGAGATCAATCGATATATCGCAAAGCACGCCACGCCACTGAAATATGAATGACCCCGAAGTAAAACTTACAATTAGTTTCTTTTTCCTATGCTGCGTTAAAGTCCCCGGAGTGGAAAAGAAAATCGACAAGTTGTTGATATTCTAACACCTTTCGTCCTTTCCCACACGAAGAAACGTAGTAACTCCACTCTAAGGTTGCAAAATGCACTTTAACAATTGAATTTTTATAGAAGTATGACCAAAAAATCACTGCTGTCTAAAACTTTGCTGATTATTTAAAGTAAGAAAGAGAATAATCACAAAAATTTTAGCAAGATATGCCCCTAAATTCCCCGATAGAAATACAATCGGCGAGTACAGATTTTGCGGCGAGACCGACGGAAGGGCTGGGGGGTTCCCATTAACTAATAGAAATACTTTAAAAGTTCAGCGAGAACCCGCCGCGGAATTTGGTGAGGGAAAAGGCGCTATAGTACTGTCAACAGAGGACCGATATTCTTTCGACAAAAGCATAGAAGTGGAGCCAAGTCTGAAAATCACCTAAAAGAAAAATACTGCCGTGCTAAGGAAGAACGCCGTATGAACATTCGAGAGTTGCCAAACTTCCCCGGATAAAAGATATATTTTTGACGAAAATTGAGCATATTTTTCTTTAAAATTTTTAGATATTTTAGATTAAATTGTGAACAAAATAGTCTGATAATTTTGAAGAAAAACATTCACAACTTCTCTAACGAATTCGTATTATATCAGAGGAAATTAGGCATTGCCTGAAGGTTTATACGGCGTTTTTCCTTAGCACGGCAGCACACTACACAGAGAAAGCACAGTTATCAACAAAATAAAAAAGTGTTCTGCAATAGTTTGTCGGCAATGAGAATTCACTACGACTCTGCAATATTTTCATTATGCTGTCATGAACACTTGGCCGCTTCAAATGACGCAAAAGCTAATTTGCAATGGTTGGTGACGGGAAGGAAATGATAAGTTAATAACTTACTTACTTTTGGATAGGATGAGGAGTATTACGGAGGTACAGATGTATAGCGCGCAGCATGCTGGGGACGGCAGGCGCATAATATTCCCTCACACTCCGCGGAGCCACTTTTGACTCCACTCTGAAACAGAAGAAAGTGATGCGCAAGATTAAAACTTGTTCTGATAGCGAAAATGTGTACTCCGGTCAGAATAACCTATCGTGGTACAATACATTTCTGAGACAATGAAGGGCCGAAGGCATGAAAATAATTTGGGTCAATAATAATTCGGTGATTTGAAAACGAACAGGCTCAGGGCTTACAAAATCACATGCTCTGGGGAAAATGAATCGTTGCTATAAGGCTAATTTCACGTTGGCAACTATGATTTCCGTAATCACAAATAAATTCTATTTATCGAATCACAGGAGCCTTTGAAAATAACGGTACTGGAGCGAGATAATCGCAATTATAGTACCGAATTAGGTATTACTAGGGGTCTGTGGCCGCTGCGCAGCCGCCAACCACTGAAAAAAAGCTACACGTAAAAAATCGTAGAACAACCATGTAATAATCGTTGCAATTAAGATACATATTTACCCTTGAATTGGGGTAAAAACCGCGGGTAGGGACCGTCAAAAGAAATGACGCGTGGACCTAGTTTTGCGGAGATTCTGGCGTCGCGCAAGCCAGGGGAGGGAGTGAGGTCGAGTGTTGAGTCATCTTTACAGTGCGATGCGCCTTCTATCTAGCTAGCGGCAGCGGCACTATAGACCTGTAGTCGAATAGTTATCGCAAATCACTCTCGCATTGCGTTTGGTGCAATGCGAGAAGTATTCATGCAGTCCTGTGGGCGCTAACATGCGACCGCGCTGTTTGGCGCAATGCATGAAGTATTCCTACAGTCTTGAAGGCGCTGATACGAGTTTGACGCCGACAGTACCGTGTTTGGCGCGATCATTCGAACTCGCGTTAGGATAGTCGCAGCATCGAAAAATGGGGCTTAAAAGGCCAATGTTGTGTTTTGACGCCGTATGAGCACTTCAGCGTTGCCTGGTTTCTACCGATAAAATATTTACTCTGAAAAAGTTAGGAAAGTTCTGTGTGTCTAATGATGGCTTAAGCGTGGGTTTGTCGGCCGATTTCGTCAAAAAAATGGGATTGCAGTCGAATGCCGAAAAAATCCGCATTTTTCACCAAAATCGACCTTCAGACCCCTGCTGATTCCAGTATATTTATTAATTCTAGTTACGCCACTGCTTTTACGTGATCATCTTCGATCACTTTCGGAGTGAAACGATTGCTCCTCCCCGAAAAAGTTGATTCGCACCAAGGGAAGGAACACAAACGGCTGACGTAGCTTCTGACGAAGACGAGAAAAGTGTGTTAACGTGCGGAATACCCAATGTCAAGTGCAGCCGCGCTTCTGGTTCAATGCCAGTCCAATGGCATCGCCACGACGCCGACGCGAGGCGACGATCCGGTCTGCTGCGCCCGCTAGGGAGGAGGGGGCGGTTCTCGTGGGGCCGTTTNGGGGGGGGGGGGGGGGGCTGATGACGACCGCGCGGCGCGGGTTCGACTCTAAATACCGTTGAACGGCGGCGTTTCGTCGTCGTGTCTCATCGCGTCCGCGCACCCACTCGTCCAGTGCCCGGTCGCAGCGTTTCCAATGGATATCCCGAACTTCGGCTACTTCGAGTGGCTTCACAGAGAGATGGACAGGATCCCGAGGGGACGATGTTTAGGGGTCGGAGAGATGGCTAAATCTCTGCATGGTGGAGGGATGGGGGAGTAGGTAGAGTACCTGTATAGGGAGAGTAGCGACAGATCTGAAACTCCGAAAGTCCATCAGGCCTTCACCGATGCCTCCGCGAATAAAGTTAGGGCCCAAAAGGGCAGCCAACCTATGAATTTCGAATGTCCAGAGCGATTTACAAATACAATTGTTACGAACCGTCGTTTAGAAAGCATGTGTTTGGTTTACTTTTTGCATAAATTTACTTATTTTTGCGAAAGAACGCTCATTTATGTACATTCTTAGCCATCTTGGTTAGAATTGAAATCTGTAGGCTGGCAGTGAAAGAGCCTCGCCAAGTTTAGCTCCTTTTTTTATACCCGAGTTGGTCAACCGGACAGCGCTCAAATGAAAGCCTATGGTAAATCAAACTTCCATGCAAAGTTTCAACTTGAAGTGACCCCTGGTTTAAGCTGTACAGCGTTGCCAATTTTCCAGTTTCATGTGCTAAAATCAAGGATATTGGACTATTAGTCCGGTGCATAAGTAGACTATTATACCCAAGTTGGTCAACGGGACAGGGCTCAAACGAAAGCTTATGGTAAGACAAACTTCCAGGAAAAGTTTCAACTTGAAGTGAAACCTCGTTTAGGCTGTACAGCGTTGCCAATTTTCCATTTTTATGCGCTAAACTCACGAAATACTGAATCATCATGGTTCAACAGACTATTATACCCGAGTTGGTCAACGAGACAGGGCTCAAACGAAAGCTAATGGTAAGGCAAACTTCCAGGAAAAGTTTCAACTTACCTTCGTACCAAACGTACCTTCATGGGCTATAACTTTGATGAGTATGGGCTAAAAATTACGACTCGATAGTAAATGAACGCTACAGACGGAGAAAATTGAATTCCGAACGCAATGTTGCAAAGTATATTTTAATTTCTTTCAAAAATTAAAGATTTATCTCACGTGAATGCTTCGATAACGTAATTTCCAAGGCATTCATGTCATTCTGATGACTGAATATCAACATGGCATAGTACATGATTTCTGTTCAAGGCAAAAATGCCAACAGAAATCATGCAACCCGCAACATGAACAACAGAAACAACAATGAACAACAATGAATGGCAACAGAAATCATGTACTATGCCATGGTGATATTTAGTCATCAGAATGACATGAATGCCTTGGAAATCACGTTATCGAAGCATTCACGTGAGAAAATCTTTAATTTTTGAAAGAAATTAAAATATACTTGGCAACATTGCGTTCGGAATTCAATTTTCTCCGTCTGTAGCGTTCATTTACTATCGAGTCGTAATTTTTAGCCCATACTCATCAACGTTATAGCCCATGAAGGTACGTTTTCCGCCAAAAATCTTGGAAAAACCCTAATTTTATGTTAAAAAAATTAATAATAAATTGGCAACACTGCTTCGAAAAGTTCACGATGGCCTTTAGTTGCGCTTCTATTCGATCTCAGGGTAGTATTCAGCTCGTAGACCGATGCACTAGTCTGTTTAATTATGATGCACTGGACTATTAGTCCCTTCATTTTGGCACATAAAAATGGAAAATTGGCAACGCTGTACAGCCTAAACGAGGTTTCACTTCAAGTTGAAACTTTTCCTGGAAGTTTGCCTTACCATAAGCTTTCGTTTGAGCCCTGTCCCGTTGACCAACTTGGGTATAATAGTCTACTTATGCACCGGACTAATAGTCCAATATCCTTGATTTTAGCACATGAAACTGGAAAATTGGCAACGCTGTACAGCTTAAACCAGGGGTCACTTCAAGTTGAAACTTTGCATGGAAGTTTGATTTACCATAGGCTTTCATTTGAGCGCTGTCCGGTTGACCAACTCGGGTATAAAAAAAGGGGCTAAAAAACACCACTTTTTGGCGAGGCTCTTTGTGTGTTAGAAGTTGCTCAGAAGGGTGGCTGCACTTTTGGGCCCTAAGCCCTCCATGAACCGATCTGTCGCTACTCTCCCTATACAGGTACTCTAGGAGTAGGTTGCCGACCTCCAACAGTTGGGCCGCGTTAAACAGGAAGGAACCAAGCCACATCAGCTTTGCCAAATTTAATGGAGCAATTTAATTTTTTACATGAAAACGGTTGTGCGGATTTTCGTGCAAATTTCAGTGAATTTTCTCCATAGTGCGAAGCGAATTCCTCAACATTTTCAAAGGGATCCGCACAAACGTTTTCTCGTTAAAAATTAAAATGCCCGGTTGAAATTGGCAATAGCTGATGTGGCTTGGTTCCTTTCTGTTAAACGCGATCCAGTTATCACCTGCTGACACGCTGAGAGACATAGAGATTCGCACTTTTCATGGATGCAGTTTTGGAAAACCGCAGTTTTTGCACCAATTAAACCATCATGGGCATGGTCGTTTAATTTTGAAAGAATGTGAGCATGAACTGCTCGTTTTGGTAAGAGACGATCAGAATTTGTTCGAAATTTCACCGCGCCATCCAAAAAGGACGTTTGCACCACCGCACATTCTGAGTGCAAGTATACTTGAGGTTTGATTCGCCGTTCTAGGTCCAAATTCTGGAGGCTCACGGTCGGCTGCAGCTTGAAAGAACACGACCTAAAATCACCATGCTCAGCCAATCAGAGAGCTTCCGCACAACCCATGAACAATCGTAGTCGGCCATAACTTACGCTCTGCTTGTCATTAGCAAAATTCGGGCCCTACACGGAAGAATGCGCAAGTGTGAACGTGGTTTTTGATGGGTGACCCCGTGGCATTATGCGAATAGGAGCCGCAGTTTTCAAAGAAGAAGCTCAACTCGTTAGCTGTGCGTGACAGAAGTTTTTCAGAAAAATGCACGTAAGTGCCAAAAAGGACTCATTAGCAGTTGTGGACCGCGTTTTCAGAAAAGAACTAAGCCACATCAGCTGCTGCCAAATCTTACTGGGTAATTTAATTTTTTACAGGAGAACATTCGCGCAAATTCTTTTGAAAATTTTAAGGAATTTGCTTCGCACAACGCAGAACATTCACTGAAATTTGCAACAAAAAAAAATCCCCCACACCGTTTTTAGTCAAAAAGTCAATTGCCCACTTAAAGACAATTGCTGATGTCGTTTGGTTCCTTTCTGCTCAACGCGGTCCATGTATACACGGTGATCTTATGGTTCTTTTTTTGCTAAACACGTAGTCGAAGATTTACGGATTGCAAGAAGGAACCACGGGTTGATTCCAACGAGTCCGTACACGTAGCTATACGCACCGTTCCCCAAAACACGGTATTTCGCAGCGAGCAGATCTCTTCTTTCCCAATAAACTCTGGTTCCTTTTTACATAATGCCATCTAAATAACTTTCATCGCAACCGTCGCAGGCACTCTATACTGCCGTGCTACGGAAAAACGCCGTATGAACATCCG